GACAGGCCTCCTGCGTGTGATTAAGATGAATAAAAAGTCCATCCGCGTTAACACATTTGATTAAGTTGTTCACCTCCTTCACACCAAAACCATAATTCAGCTGTACGAGCCCAATATTAGCAAACATGGGGACAGAGGGGCAGAATTTTTTAACGTCAAAGGTGTGTATAGCCACAGCATACCTATTTACAATACGCATGCTACCTAGACCAAAGGGGATACCTTCTGCTTCACAGGCCTTGGCTAAATTTTCATTGATAATGCGGCCATGCTCCTCACCACCTGTCATGGAGGATATAATAAGAGGAAACGACAAAGTCCACCCCATAAATTCGCACCGAGTATCAATTTTACCCATACTGATCTCAGGTAGCGCAGTATACGGAATTTTATACTTTTCCCATATAGAAGGACCATTTTTATACGGTTCAACAACTTTATGAAGACAGATGTCGATATGATCCTTCTTCCGGCGCCGCACAATGTCTTCCTTATTAAAACCAGATCCCTGAGTCATTCTCCACCGCACCAATTTCCTTCAGCTTCCCCCTTCTATTGTTATTTTAAAAGAAAAAAAGGCAACCAAAATAAAAAAAAAAAAAAAAAACTAAACCAACAACAAAATTCCCTTTCCTTTATAAATATTTAGTTTGTAGTTACGTTTCTGTATCTATTTACTTATTTGTATATATATATATATATATATATATATATTATTTATTTACTTAATTATTTATTTACTTAATTATTTATTCACAGCCTGCATGATAGAAAGTAAGAACAAGAACAAACAGACCCAGTCACCAGAATGAGTAAAAAAAAAAATAGAAGTGAAAAGAAAATGGTATTTGCATCTATTCCATTACATGTAGAAGAGAAAAATATGCTTATAAGGGTAATGATAGAAACGCATACACAAAAACAGACACATGCATAGAAAATATCAATACCACCCCCCCAGTTCAGGGATTCAATACCAAGAGCAGATACATATATTTGTGTATATATATATATATACAAAGGGGAGAATCGTTGCGTTTATTCAGCGCTACCAATACCAACATCACTTCTTGTGCTGAGGAAGGCGATGTACCCGTCAACACACTTGAACAACGCCGCAGCATCAACCACAGTAATATCCTCTTCAATTTTGAGAGCTTCCTCTCCGCAATGAGGATGCCTTTTTTTCATGTCCCGACGGATTTCCTCCGCAAATGAAAATCTCTGGGGAAGAGGAAATTTGATCATTTCAAAGAATTGCCTGAGCGCTTCCTCGGCCTCTGCAAAGGATCCATCCAACCAAAAGTGGGTGTCTTCCCCTTCTGCGCCAGGCGCCACCTCACCCTTGTGACGTTCCACGGGAGTAGAGCCCATGGAGGCCATAACAAGGCGCATGGAAACCATCCCCCGTATGCAGTTGAGTGCCTCCCTTAGCCATCTTAGCCGGCACTTCTGAAGGTATATTTTCAGTAGCAAATGCATTCCGCGTGGAAGAGCCATAAGAGCTCGACAAATCGTGCCACAGTCGCCGTCTTCACACGCCGTGCACAACTTAATCGTCCACCGCAAATCCGTCTTTTTTACTCGTGGTGACGCATTTTCAGGCGTCTTTGTGCTTTTTGTAATTGTGTTTGTGTAAATTATCAACTCCGTTGCCAAAGCATCGTGCTGACCACCAAGGGAGAGGTATGCAAGGCGATAACAAAAGAAATCAGAAATAGAAGTTTCTTTGACATCCGAAAGTCCCTCATATAACTTTTTCAAAGAAGCCTGACACTGATTAAATTCCCCGATATCCCCTAACTCCAAGCAAATAAGAGCATGTCTTTCGTACACATCGACGGCAAATCCGTCCACAATATTCTGGACGCGGAGATCTTGTCTTAACCCCTTCAATTGCTCGTTCAAATACTGCGCCGAGGCCAGCGCATTCTCATTCCCCAATTTATCTTTTGCCTTTGCCAACACAAATGCCAGAGCCTTCACAAGGACGTCTCGAGGGCGGATATCCACCGGGGTTGGCTCGTATCTCGAGTACATGCGCTCTAGCTCTTGTGACTTTCCAATGAATGGACGCGAGGACGGTGTTGAGTTATTGCAGGAAACAAGGTCACGGAAAAAGACACGTGTTCGCTCAGACTCAACCGAGGTGGGCCACACTCCATCCGCTCGCTGAGAGTACATTTCTCCACGTCGTGTCTTGCTTGGCCTTTCCCTCTCTATATCTCTCTCTTCACCCTCTGGATGCGGTCTTGAAACCTTTCCAGGCGCTAAAGGCTTCCGATGCACAGACTCGGTGGAGCTAGGTGCCACCACCACCTGTGAAAACGGGGACGTCATGCGGCGCTGAGCCTCCATCTGTGTCTGGTACACACGCTGAAGCTCTTGAGCTGCCTGAATCAACTCCATGAACGTCAATGCATCATACCTCCTCCTACCCGAAGCCACCTCCACATCTATCATGTTAATCGCCTGCACAACAAACGAGCGGAGTTCCGATGGCGCGCGCCTCATACACTCTGTAAACAGGAGGGTGCGATGATCCACGCCCGGCTGTGTGACGCTATTTCCTTCCCGACTCGCAACATTGCCATCCCGAAGAAAAGTGGGCTCTCTATCTTCTGCATTGGCCGGCATCACGGGAGACACGCGCGTCCAATCCTTCCCTTCGATGCCGCCCGGCGCGCGCAGGGCATCCTCCACAACCCCAACGGCCCAACGCTCGTACTTGCGCCGGTCCGCCTCCGTTGTTCTGGTTTTTGACAGGTACGAGGCGCGATTCAGCCAGTCACGAAGAGGTTTAGTCATCGGCACACCGTGTGATGTAAAAAAATCACATGAAAGATAAGAAGCCGGCTTCATCCTCCAGACAACTTCCTAAACTGCTACAATCACACAAGCACACAATGCATAAAAGGATAAAATCCACAAAATGATAAAGAAAGAACAAACTCAAATTTCACCGTCAAACAAATATGTGTATCAATAGATAAAAAAAAAAAAACAATAGCAGCCACGCATAGAAACTACCATGCATGCATGCATAAATTTGCATTTTGCCCTTCTTTAAGGGGGGGAACAAGAAGAAGTAATTGATGCAGAGACAAGGAGCAAAAAAAGAACCCGTTAGCTCTTCTCCCCAGTGTCTTTTATCCGATTGCATCAAAAACACTTCAGAAACACCAGGAAACTTCTTTTCCCCCCTCATTCCTTCCCCCCCTCTGCCAGTAGACCTTCATTCCACCTCCTTTTAATATCCTGCCTTTTCTCCCTATTTTCTTTCGTTCTTGGCAACACAAGAAGTATGCGTGGAGGCTACTCGTTAGACGTCTTTAGCATTATTTGAAGAACATCTTCATCTTCCAACCGATGCCCAATGCCAACTCGCTGCGGCTGATGTTTCGTACTCGTTCCCCACACCAGGGCGTACTTAAATCTTGATGAGAGATCCTTATGTATCCTCTTACAGATGTGATCAATGTCCGCGTCGCGCTTCACCACAAAGGGCTTCGTGAAATCTGGATGCTCACCATGTTTTTTCGTATAGACGCGAATAATATTAAGATGCTCCCAAATTTCCTCAATAACCTCATCCACATTCAAATCCCAATGCAGTGAAAGAACAACTGAATTTGGCAATCGGCTCAGGCGATCCATTTCCTCCATTGTAATAGTGTCTATTTTATTGTACACGTAGAGACAGGGCATGTACCTTCGATTTCCCTCAATAACATCAATAAACTGATCAATTGTGATGTCTTCACGAATAACGACCTCTGCATTATGAATCCCATAGTCTTTCAATATTTCCTTTGCCAATGCCTCCGACATACCCTGCGTTAATTTCACAGTGGCGGTAAAACTTATGGCATTCATGCTACAAGAAGGTTTCTTTTTAAATGTCACGTTGGGAAACTTCTGGTTGAGGCGAATACCCACAGTTTCCAGCTCGGCCTCAAGTTTGCATCGCTGGGCCTCCGCCTTGGCTGCATCAAGCATCAAAATAATCATATCGGACGTTCGAGCGGTGGCAATAACTTGTCTTCCACGGCCTTTCCCCTCCGCGGCTCCCTCAATGATGCCTGGCAGGTCTAAAATCTGAATCTCCGTGCCCTTGTGCATCAGTTTCCCCGGAATACACGTCAGGGTGGTGAACTCATACCCGGCCGCCTCACTCACCGTCGCCGTCACACGAGAAAGAAATGACGACTTTCCGACGGACGGAAATCCCACAAGGGCGCAGCGCACATCACCACTTTTCCGGACCTCAAATCCATCGCCCCCACGGGCACCAGCAGCCCTTGCGGCATTCTCCAACATTTCGGTCCTGATACGGGCCAATTGGCCCTTGAGACGGCCTATATGATACTCCGTTTTCTTGTTCTTCTGCGTCCTGGCAATTTCCTCCTCGATTGCCTTACGGCGCTCGAGTAGCCCCATCTTTCCGTGCGATGAGAAAAACTCTAGCCGCTTGCCTCTCCGCCTGGTCGGTCCCTCTCACAAACCTGCAGGCCAAAAAAGGAATCCATCAAATAGAAAAAAAGGAAAGAAAAATAATAATAATAATAAGACAAGAAAACATGCCCAGCTTTGCGTACAACTTACAAGGGGCATTTCCCAAAAGCAAAACAAATGACACAAAGACCTGAACACGCATACACGCCTCTTCCATTCACATATATCCCTCCTTTTGCATATTTACTCGTACCTTGTCGCGTTGAGTTCACTCTTACGGCCTTCTCGTCCCTAAGAATGAATTAAGCTCACCTCCGCTTTCCTCTGTGCTGTCAAGCAAGTCTTCAACTTGATCCCGCCACACCGTTGGCCACCACAGTTTTGGAAGCCGAAAGACCTAAAAAGCACTTCAAGGGTGAAAAGCTGTATTTTTTAGCTTCCCGTGCAATGACATTGTTTTTCATCAAGGATGGTATCCAGCTGTCATCAATAATTCCTTTTAATTCCTCTGCTGTGTAAAGGGTTGCCCTTTGACGCCTAATGGGGGACCATGTCATATAAGGAACATGTTGCAAACTTGTTGTCTTCCTCTTATGATCCTCGAGTAGAGCAAAGAGGATCATGGCAAAATAACGCAGTCCCTCCTCTTTCGCCACCACACCGTTGCTGACCTCGGCACCCGCTTTTGGTACTCCAACGGTGATGCCGGTCAGGCAGGCCTTGCCACCAGACCAAGGTTGTGTGCCGTGTGAGTCACAGATGTACAGACTCCACGCCTCACTATAGCGTGCGTTGGGGCGACCCTTCACATCATGTGCCAGAGAGAAAATTGAAACGGTATAGTCTCCCGAAGCGATGACGTAACCACAGACCGATAAGGAACCATCGGCATTTCTGCTGCCGCGGGATGTACTGCACAACTGATCCACAAGTTCCTTCGCTCGATCTCGCTGATTATAAAAGAGTACCTCAAATTCTCCCTCATTTACTCGACTAGGGAAGAACTCGCGAAGTCTTAGAGCGGCATTAAGATCACCAACTGTGGGTCGTGCCCTACGCTGCGGCCAGACCGGGGCTGAAATTTGATGTAACCAGGCCGAAATGTACAACAGGTAATTCACGGTTGAGACATCGCTGCACTCTTGCATGGTCACTGCCAATCCAAGGGAGGAAAGAACGACGGCGGCAATCGTGGAGAAAGTTTGACAGCAGTCATGGGTCAGTGGCGGCATCAACTTTGTTCTCCCATCACGAGCGTCAAATTGCGAGCATGAGCCCCGAATACAAACTATCGTGTTTTCAATGAAAAAGTCGTACCCTCCATCTCTAAGAGTCGCTATATCATTTAAACTAATGTCAGTCAACCGGCCTTGAATGCGATGGAGACGCTGTTGCTCACGCAAGGCCCTGCGCTGCATCCTATTCGAGTCGTTTTTTGCATCTTCAACTTCAGCAATGACTTCAGCGTTGGCACTCGTGCTACCCTCCAACATATTTCGCTGATCCGCCAAAAGCGACGCGGTCGACACCGTCGAGCTCTCTTCAGCGCTCATCACACACTTTTTGAAAGGATTTAATATTAATGAAAATTCATAAGAATATAGCAAAGGAACAAACAAACAAAGGAAGACAAAAAAGAGGGAAGAAGAAGAAATTGCGGAATTCAATGGTTGACGATAAGAGGACGTTCATTGCTGCCACGTTTGCATCTCCACCTTTTTCTTCTTCCCCCCTTCCTCCCTCCCCCCACAAAAAAAAACAATAATTTGTGGAAAGCACAAAGAAAGTGAGTAATTAAAAAGCATATTCCTTCTTCCTACGGAGTCCTTACTTCTTGGCGAGTGTCTTCTGAATTCGACCCACCAAACTTACGCTGTTATCAGTGGCACCATCGGCTGCAACGGCAACCGGAGTGTTCCAGTCAGGCGTACCCCTGACAAAAACCTCCTGGTTAAACCGAATGACACCTTCCTCCTTATCCCAGTGGATGTCGGGGTAAATCCGAGCAAGTTTGGTGAGTGTATCAAGTGCTGCAATGGGGGTATCCTTGTCTTCGGTCTGGAGCAGAACCGTCCGCTTCTCTCTTGCAACGCGAAGCTGCGAGTTCGCGTATTTGAAAAGCGAGCGTTCGCGGCCAGCATGCATGGAAGGCAAGCGAGACCTGAGGTCCAGCTGCGGTGGAAGCTTCTCAGCCTCTGCATCATTGACAACGCTGACTTCTTTAATAAAACGCGTCCTGATAATCTTCACGTTCGGATTGTTCCCTGAGATTCCCTGGAAGAGCACAAGAAGCTCCTCAGCGGGGCTGTACGTAAATACTGTACCCCTCACGGAGGAGCCATCCAGCAACACGAGCGCCACATGCACACCAACGGCTTGGGTCTCTGAAAGGGAGCTTGGCATCATTAAATGCTGCTGCTACTGCTGTTTCTGGTGCGATCTATCGAAAATAACAGGCTTGCCTAGTAATTTTTTAGTTAACGGAAATAATCTGCGGTAAAAATAAAAAGGAAAAAACAATTTAAAAGATGAATCATAATTAAAAAACCAAAAGTAACAAGTTGTGGCCCTTGGACACCTGTCTTTTTTCCTTTTTTCGTTCCAATAAGAAGCGAAGAAGCGGGGGTGATTAATGACCGTCGTGTCGTATCAAGACCACACTTCCGACCTGTGTGGAAGAATGACGTCCCTGTCCAACAGGCAAAAAAAAAAAAAAACTTTGTGACGCATAAATAAATGTAAAAACGAGGAAAATATGCAAAGCCTTTTTTTTGTTTGTTTGTTTGTTTCTTCTTCGTTTGTGGGTGGTAACTTCCTTGTCTTATGTTCCTTCATGTAAATGGTCTCTCCTAGCCCCTGTTCCCTCTTCTCCTTCCCTTTTTTCCTTCAAATTAGGCATGAAAGACGTAGTGCATCCCTCTCTTGGCGTAAACAAAGACGTTCTTCGACCTGGCGTAATTGAGAATTTCCCTTCCTGGAACAGAAGATGAACCAATAAAGAGGTGTGTACGCTTTGACAAGAGACTGGAGTACATCTCCTTCAACTGCCGGTGACGGTCACCCTCCGGTGGCTCATTTGACCACTCCTTGAGAAACTGGTACGTGCCTGCTAAGTTGTTGATGTGAGCTGGCGATAGAGAATTATGGCAACTGACAAGACCGGAATCATTGGGGGCGCTTAAAATACCGTCAAACCAGATGGTGGGTGGAATTTTGTCCTGATTTGTCGCATTAAACTTGTTCCGCACCTCCATATCCGCCGCGCGAAAAACAAACTTGTAGTCTATGGGGTCCACGCGATGGTCCATCGTGAACGGGGAGCCCGCACTACAGCAAATGGCTCTCATGGTGCTGTAGCTGGCGTTGTTTTTCGCTCGGCGCGGCAGCAGCTGGTAGAGATTATCTTCCCTATGAACGGTAAGAAGATCTGCCCAGCCGTCAAGGAGCACCGGCTGCCCTGCGGGGTGTTGAGAGGGAATCGTTCCAAATTGCTGCATAACGGCCTGTTGCTCGGGTGAAATGGCCTCAAACACAAGAGACTTCGCCTCGTACGCGTCAAAAACTCGATTATGAAGCTTTTGCTGCGTCACATTCCCTGACATATCGCGAAGACGAACCACCAAAGTCTGAAGCGTTGTGTTCAGTAGCGACATTTCGCTGGTTTATCTATCCGCCGCCACCACCACCACCCTCCTTTTATCTAAAAACTGCGCAATGATGTACTCGAAAACAAAGAGAAAAAAAAACAAGAAAAAAAGTTCGGCAGATGTACATATGAAAGAAATAATAATAACAACAATAATAAAAACAACACATCCATTTATTATTATTACTATTATTATTATTTATTAAAACAATAAAAAATATATGATTCGTATCCATAGTAATCCATACACGTGGATATGCACATTCCACGCAAATCTGTATAATATATACGTTTAGATATATATTTATGCATACTGAAGAAATGTTTCCTAAAACACCACTCATTACTCCCGTTCAATTTGCTCATCACCTCCAACGACCCATTGCATCCGCTACACGTGAAGCAACTGTGCTTCTTTTCCGGTCGTAATAGCGATCCACTGTTCATTTTGAGAAGACCACGAAATGTTATTAATGGGGTGCTCTCCTTTATAGTTCATGATGCACTTGGGTGCCACATTCGGAAGCCCATTGATGTCCCAAATGTATGCTGTGCCATCTTCTCCAGCACTGCAAAGATTTGTCACGGAGTTTGGCGCCCAGCAAACGCTGTTGATTGGCTGGGGTCGAACATTTCGCAATACACCCACGGGAACAGCAGGAAAACGCGTATCCAAAACAATCACTTCGGTGCCCTCAACACCAAATGTAGAAAGATACGTCTGATCAAGCTTGTCCCATGCCACCCGCAGGAGGGGCGATAAAGAGTGAGATTCGTACAGAATTGTGCAGTGCTCAATTTCCCTCAAGTCAAATATGCGGACCGAGCCGTCCGCGCCACAACTCGCAAAAGTGTGGGTCCCCTTTGCAAACGCAATGTCATAGACATCCTTGTCATGCGCGATCAGCCGCGTGTTTTTCCCACTCTCAATGTCCCAAATTGTGACTGTTGTGTCAACGCTGCAGCAGCCGACAATATTGGGGTCATCGCTGTTCCAATCACATGAAGTTACAGGGAAACAAAACTCATTCTGCTGTTTCCCACTATCAAAGACTGTTTTAAACACCACATGGGAGTCAATGTGGTCCCTTTTCGATGGCACCTTACGTGGATCATCATTCTCTCGGTGCCTCTCATCACTATTTCGCTCCGGGGGCCCCTCCTTCACTTCCCACAAGCGAAGATAATCTGCCGTTGTAATGATGAGATCGGTCATTGTTTTTTGAGGGGCAAACATCACTTTGGTTGGCGGGTAGCAGTGTTCCCACGTTGCTCTACAGACCAATTCCCCTTCTTCATTTTTCTGAACAATGTCCACATGATTCTTGTACTCCTGTATGTACGAGGAAACAGCAAAGCGAAAGGGTGAATTTTCCCGCGTGCTCCATGAGAGACCGTTTGCCACCCACCCAGTGGAGTACGACAAAATACTCGGCCGCTGCTGCTGCTGCTGCTGCTGCATCGCCTTTTCTAACTAAGCACAGATTGACTCAGAGGCAGCAACCCCAAAGGTTCCACACCTCTCACAAGAAGAGAATTAGAAAAAGAAAGAAAAAAAAAAGATTAAACACGCATGCAGGATCCACCTTGCAAGAGCATAAACAAATTGCGCAGCGCCATCGTTCATGTGCACAAAAAGTCACATGCGAAATAAAACCATCTCATATACATGCATTCATTCTAGCGCGGCTGCAACAGAAAATAGCTGCAATTAGGATTCTTCAGCCAGTCTTTTTTTTAGAGCCTCCACCTCCGCCTTGAGGCACGCATTCTCCTGTTGGAGTGCCTCGTAGTCTGCAGAGGAAGCGCCACCAAGCACCTTCTTGATGAAATCCACCGGGTCCTCCGGCTTCTCCGGCTCTTCGTAGAGGTTCACAAGAACACGAGTCAAGGTGTCAATCACCTGCTTTCGCTCGAGGTACTTGCGAAACTCCTCCTTCTTTGCTTCACTGGACTGATAAGACATGTCTTGTAGGCGTGGGTGCCGAAGCGTGTGCTTAATCTCGTTTTTTTTATTTTTTTTTTCTTTTCTGTGGTTGCCTCTTCCAAGCTGTCCCCGCGGGAACCAACAAAAAAAAGAGGAAGAAAAAAAAAGAGAAGAAAGAAATAGACAAAAAATCAAAATGACTTCAAGAAGCGGGAGTGTCGTGTGCAGCGGACGCGTATTTCTTTTGGTTATCTTCCCCTGCCCCTCATTCCAGTAAAGAGGAAAGGGAGAGAACGTTTCCCACTTCGCCCCGTGAGGAATTTGGAGGAGAATGAAATGCGCCTCCCGTGAAGCTTACAGGCGGGCGCGGACTGCCACGAACGCATAAGGACAAAAACACAATAAAATAACAAATGTCAATCCTTCTCCCCCAGCAGCACCGTGCGTGATGACATTTTTCACGAGACAACTCTGCATCTGTGACACTCCTTGTTTTTTCCCCTTTGCATATTTGTGTGCTCTTCTCCTCCGTGTTGCGCCTCACGGACAAAAGAAAAAACACATATATGGGGAAATACTAGTCGTTCTTCGGGGCGCACCGCTTAAACGGCACCTTGATGCGGTCGTCACGCCGCACAACCCTCTTGGGCGCCGCATTCCACAGGCGAGAAATAATCACAAAAACCGCGAGAATGTGTGCGATGGCAACAACGGCAACAAAGCACCACACACCGTACAGCTCCAGGTTCATTTCTTGCAATGGTGCCTTTGGGAAGTGTTGATGGCAGAGAGAGAGGGCGGAAAATAGGTAGTTGTAAGCGAAACTACCCGCGCACACAAAAATCACCACCACCACGCAGCAAACCCAGGCACTATTCACACACCACCACGCACACGCTTGTGTTTCAAAGAAAAAAAAAAATAGGAAAAAAAGGGAATACACAGTAACTCCTGGTAGTTCAACTCATTTGGGCGCCAGTCTTATGTATACGTATAGAGGATAAATGTATATATATGTATTGTCTTCAGTGGGGGAATTTTTTTTCTTTTTTATTTAAGGAATTCATTCAAAAACGGTGGCGAGGTCACTGCAAACACCATTATAAACGGACGTACACAGCGTAATGTTTTTGTAGGCCCTTTCGCGCTGTACGTTGGGCATCTTCACTAGCGTTCATGGCGTAGCCCAGCACTTTTCGCGTCATGGCATCGCTCTGAAGTTCCTCCTCACTCAGTCGACGGAAGAGTGGGCATCCATCCAGGCACGAGACCATCCACTGCTCCAGCTCCTCAACATCCGACACGGTGAAGAGAAGTCCCCCAATTTTCAGCCAGTAGGCATACTCATGAACGAGCCCGGGTGAAATAATGCGCCGGCGAATATTCTTCTTCTTCCAGTGCGGGTCCGGGTAGCAAAAGAAAAGGACCCGCAGTTGTCCCTTGCGGAAGCAGTTCGAGCCAAACTTCATCACATTCATCTGCTCAAACCACAAATTGCAAAAGTGATGAGAGGAATCGGAGGTGGCCTCTCGAAGGCCCAACGTTTTTTCTTGGGCAAACTTAACGACCTTGGGGCGTATCTCAAGACCCAGCATGCATGCATCGGGATACTCCTGCGAAAGTGCAAACAGCATGCCACCGAACGCACACCCCACATCCACAAACTCAACCACCGGATTGCGCATCGCGGGGTAAAAATCCGCACATCGGGCCTGCAGCTCCAACGGGTTGTCGGGATGTGCGTCAAGGTTTTCGGCCAGCGGGTTCCGATGCGGACGAGTACGGATCGGCAGGCGGGTCCACTTCGGCTGCACAGCACTTGTCATTTCCCCAACTACCAAAACCTGCCGACGAAAAAATGACCCTTAAAACAGCAATGGGAAATGACATTCAAAAAGTAAAGCAGATTCAACTGCAGGAAAAGCAATCAGCTTCACCCCATCGCACACAAATAGACACTTATTATCCCTCTTTTTTTTTTTTTGTTTTCTTTCGTTTTCTTCTCCATCTCACAAGAAATTGTGAGACTGTGAAAAAGCATCGAGGCACTGTCTCCAAAATTTCCACAAGTGCCAACATTATAATCACAGACACTTCCCGCCACATAAAAATACAAACTCACACAAGCACACACTCTCACATTCTTAGCCTTGTCTTTACAATGCCCTTTTGGCATGCATTTGCTTGAGACGCTTCTTCAACTGTGCATTTTCAGCCACTAATTGCTCCAGTTCCATTGTAACTCGCCCCAGAACTGTGTTGTATTCTTCTTGTTCCGCTTGGTGCCTGCTCCTAACACTTGCCAATTCTGCCTGAAGCTCCTCCCGTTCCTTCTCACTGCGCCTCTCCAGCACCCTGTAGTTTTCCTCCAATATCGCCAACTCCTTGTTTAGCGCCCCAATTGTCATTTCATTTGCCTTTATTTGTGGAATCAACTCCTCTTCATCGATACCACCACCACCACCAATGCTATTCTTTGCTGCCAAAGAGTCTGGCTTCGGTCGAGCCGGCGATCCACTAGACAACCGCAGCTGTTCAATGGTTCGTTCCTGACGCTTCATCGTTTTACGCAGATGATGCAGCTCCTTAACGTTATTCTGTTCACTATCCAGGGCCTTTTGGAGAAACGCAATGCGCCGCGCCGCCTCCTTCTTTTCACTGTCGCGGAGCTTCACTTCCTGCACAAGTGCCGTCACCTTTTGACGCAGCTCTCGAATTTCATCTAACTGGCTCACGGGAACGGAACTCGGGGCACGAACCTTCAAAACGGCATTATTCATGTGAAGCAAAGCCTCATTGATCTTTTCTATCAGTTTATCCTTCTCTTCAAGGAGGGCACTGAGCAGCACGTACGCCTCTTCTATGGAGAAGGGGGCTGCAGTCTTTAACAGCCTCTGTCGAATCTCATTTTCAAGACTACCGGCAATGGGAGGCATTTTCGCCAGTATACCCCGAAAATGCGTGGAGTCGTGCGCGCTAAAAACTCCCTCAACACGCTCAATAGTCGCACTGCGAGTCCCATTTACCTCCTGTACTTTGCTCACCACCGCACTAAACGTTCCTAGGGCGGGAAGGATAACCCGTCGCTCCAACAATGAAAGGTACTCCGTCAAGGACACTAAACAAGTGAATGCGTCAGAAACAATTCGATCACGTTCTCTTATCTCTGCTGTCAACTCCTGCTCAATGTGGTCGCGCTGGCGCTCCACAAAGACGCACTCATCAATAACCTCGGAGAGATTCTGCTTCGCCTTGTGAAGCTCTTCCATAAGGTTCGCTGCATCTTTGTCCACCATGAATCTGACAGTCCTTTTGCTCCTTGTCCCTCCCTTTGTCTTGTATTTCAGTGCACAGGCCAAACAAACGGGGAAGGCCAAAAAAAAAAAAAAAAAAAAAAGAACAATGAAATAAAGAGCGTTTAAAATCCAAAAATAACAAAAACAAAACAGGAGACCTAACGCTGCCCAGCAGCATTCGACAATGTCTCTCTTTCTCTCCGTGAGATATACACACACACACAACGACAAACGCCTTTTTTTTTTTTTTTTCATACACTTCCCCTCTTATTTTCTTAGCGCCCTGGAGCAATACGGGTGCTTTGTCGAAAACACTCCTCATGCAAACTTACCCGACTGATGGGCCCTTTCTTGCGACTGATGACTGTGCTGTCCCTTTCTGAGCGTGGATGAAAGCGCATGTTATGCGTCGACATTCCTCCTTGAAGCTCTTCCATGACATCTCGCATATCCTCAGAATAGCGAGCCACTACGTCTGAGGTCTTCACATGATGCGTCCAGAGAAATTCATTATTTTCGGCAGCACTTTCCGGATTTTTATCCCTGCCGTCACCCAGTTGATGATGTTCACTTACTGTCATCTGCCGCCGCATTTTGTTGGGCAAACGATCCAACGTAATACGACCCATATTTCCCATCTGAAAATCATGTATCAGAAACATCTGCGCCCGTACAGGATCTATATTTCCCAAGTCTGTTTGTCCACTGGTTCCACTTCTCTCACATATCATCGCAATACAGTCGTCAAAGCTAATTGGGGCACGTGGTAGGTGCAAACACTCCGCCATGTGCTCAGAAATTCCGGCAGCTGTGAGAACATCGTAAATGTAACGAGCCACAATGCTACGAGGAAGCGTAATGTCATTTGTGGGTATAATCCCGCACGCTGCTAACTTTAAACTTGCCTCCTTGGAGAGGCACCCTGGGAGCGTAAGACCAGGAGAGTCATAGAGAACAATATTGGGATCCCGACAAACAGGAACAAGTTTCACGCCTTTAGTCGTACCTGGAGTAATACTCACGGCTTCCGGCGTACGAGGACGTCGAAAATCCTCGCGATGGAACTGATATTCATGTGCCAATCGTAAAGAGTTGATGAGGGTGGACTTGCCAACATTGGGCATCCCGACCACAAGCCCAACATGAGCAGTCACCTTAAATTGCTGGGCGGGTAAAATATGTGTCACAAATCGTTGAACAGCTTCTACGGTGTCTCTCCAACTTCTTTTAGCGCTTGTGAAGAGAGCAAAGTTGCCCGTCTTCTCGTAATACTGTTGAATGTTACGGTTACAGTCTTCATTAGACATCTCTGCCTTGTTGAAGACAATGAGCCTCGGTCGCCCGGAAATGATCTTTCGCAGGTTGGGGTTTTCCGTGGAAAATGGCAGTCGTGCATCCCGTATTTCCAGCACAAAATCTGCATCCCTAACCTTCTCGGTCAGGGTCCGTAAGGCAAGCTGCATGTGCCCCAGATACCACGCAGGGCCCTTCTCCCCAATGTCAACAAAAGCCTCTCGAGAAATGCCCTTTCGTGTGGAATGGTCCATTGCCTCCTTGTATGATGCCAGCGTCCGCTTCACTCGGCGCATGAAGGCAGGGTCAAAGACATTGCGGCAGCAGACGCCATGTCGCATCTCCTTCCCCCCTCTGCTCTCTCTTTCTCTCTTCTTTTTAATTCACCCTCCTGTTCCTTCGGGAGGGGGCTTCCTAGAGGGGAGAAGAAAGGAAACCTCAAGTCAAAATTGAATTGGCGGTGATGGCCGTGGAGAAAAGAACAGGAATAAAATAAATGCGCAGCAGCCGTGAAAAAAGCCACACAAAAAGAAAAAAAGCAGCAAAAAAAAAAAAAAAAAAGGGAAAAAACGCCAAAAAATTTATATAAAGCAGTTGCAGTACAAAAAAAAAAAAAAAAAGAAAAAAATTTCATCGAACTCTACCGCCGATACGCAGCACGCACCACCCTGCCCTGCACGATACAGCCAACCAAACGGATAAATTTTAAATTTCCTCCCTTTGTCTTCTTTTTTTTTTTTTATTCCGTACTTTTCATTGAATTCCCCTACTCAATTCCCCACACATCTCCTCCCTTTTGTTCCCTCCGTGTCTTTTTCACTGGCGATTATTCCCCTCTATTCACCGAATGCAAAAACAGCCACATGGCACACCAAAGCAACAGAGAGGAAGAGAAAAACAAACATAAAACGATCTCTTCTTTTTTTTTTTTCTCTCCCCTTTTCTTTGGTTCCTCCCCACCGCGAATCACATCAAACACAAATATATGCGCTGGGCGTTTCTTTTCACCTCCCCTCCGCTCGTCTCTTCTCTTCCCTTCTCTCATCTCTAATCATTGGCGGGTGGGGCGGATGCAAGACGGGGCAAAGTAACGCCGGCAATGCCCCACGGGAGGGAAAAGACTCGGCGAAAAGAAAACCACCACGACAGCGGCAGGAATGCGCCAGCCAGCGGAGGAAAAAAAAGTAAATGAATCACGGAAAAGATAAGTGGGAGAATTGATGCGCGGGGAAAGAGGGAAAGGGGGGAAACGATCAAAAACACCGACGACCAAAAAAAAAAAAAACGAGATGGGAGAAAAACAGACGAAAAAAAATATCATAGCCACACTTCATCTTCCTTTGATCCCCCTCCTCCGTTGGATCACCCGCTGCGGATAACCCTCGACGAAAATAAGGACGATACGAACAAAGCGATTAAAACGAGTAGGTGTGTTTGAAACGAAAAAAAAAAAAAAAAAAAAAAGAGGGGGGAAAGAAATAGAAAGAATTTGGTGGGGAAAAGAGGAGATGATGACATCATCAGACGCACTCCAATTTATTTATTTATTTTTTCTTCATCCCTTTTATTCCCTCCTTCCTCCCCGCCCCCGCCCCAGACCTGTTTTTTCTCTATAAATTCCACTCGCAGAAGACTGAAATCTTACGCCAGTGAGTTGTACTGCCTGGTGCTGGCCAAAAAAGAAAAAAAAAGGTTCAAAAAGCAACAAACAAACGAACGACGAAAAAAAGCCAAGCGCCCTAACCCCACCTCTACAAAAAGCCCATCGTAGTTATTGATGTCAAATGCAGAATTTTCTCAAAATATTGAATTATTTCTTGTGTTTGTTTAACGGATCATGCGCTTGGATGGGGTTGTGCCCTGCCCCCTCCCCCTTTTCTTTTTTCTTCATTATTTCTAATAAAAGGAGTACAACACACAACACACACAAACGCAGTGAAGCAAGTGGCAATGCGGTTCAATGCACCCAACGTCCCTAACACCTCAGAAAGGAGAAGAAAAAAAACAAAACATTCATGAAACACCCAAAAATCACCAAACAAATAATTTCAAAAGACATGAATATTACTATACGACACAACTGGGCCCGTGGCAAACACACACACAAAAAAAAAAAAAGAAAAAGAAAAAAGAAAAAGTGACAGTTTCTTTACGTTCCCCCCCTCCCGCGACCACCGGACCCCACCGCATGGAAAACAATAAGATGTGGGCGAAATAAAAATAAAAGTAAAAATTAAAAAAAGAAAAGAAAAGAAGGCAAAGAAGAGCACCCGCTGCTTTACAAGGCTTTTTTTTTTTTTTTCTTAACCCACAAGAAAGAAAGAAAATCAAGTCTTCAATACGTCAAAAAAACAAAAAAAAAACGAGAAAACAAAAGCAAATGCTATCATCTACGTGGTCCGATTGGGTCAAAAATCCTTCGCAGAAGCGTGCACAAACTCCCACCCCACACCCTCTCAAAAAAAAAAAAAAAAATCAGTTATTCAAAATGCAGAGGGTCCATCGAATAGTGTCAAACACACAGGGCAGTAGTTTTTATAATTTTTAGAGTGGCATAATCACTTTTTTTTTTTTTTAAAAGGAAAAAAATAAAAGAAGAAGAAAGAAAGAAAGAAAAAACATGGATACACCTGCCATGGCAATTGAGCCCTCGCCATAGATGAAAAAAAAAAAAAAAAAAAAAAAAAAAAAGAGAGGAAAGGAAAGAAAGTAACAGAGCATGAAAACATGAAAGTAAAGAGTTAAATATAAAACGAAGGGAGTAAACGGGTTCGTCCACACGCGGTGAGAAAGCGTAAGAATGCAAAAACAACAACAAACAACAAACAGAAAAAAAAAAAAAAAAGCATCACTTATTTTGGTCTTACATCGTATCATTATTATTTTATTAAATTTTTTTTTATTTTTCATTTTTTTTGTTTCGTTGTTGTTCATGTTTTTTGTTTGTTTTGTTTTGTTTTTGCCTTCACTCCCTTTCACACCGTCCCTTGACTCTGTTTCTTCCATCCACACATACCTACAACGCAGACGCACTTGTTATATTGTTGTTTTCCATCTTTTCAAGAGGCGATGCCTCCTCATCCCACCCCACAATCCCTCCACCTCCAAATGAAGATGCAACAAAGAAGTGTGGTAACGATGATGATGATGACAAATAAATAGAGAAGAACAGTTTTTTTTTTTCCTTTTTTTTTTTTCTTTTCTTTTTTTTTTTTTTTGTCAGATTAATGTAATGTATTTTGCATGTATATTTGTATACATGCAATACCTTCGTTCATTAAAAAAAAAAAAAAAAGTCAAATAAATGTTGTATTCGCACGGAAAAAAAAAGAGAGGAAATAATAAAAAAAAGAATTCACGGCTTTATCCTGAGCGTAGCTACAGCGATTAAAAAGTTCACACACAACGAAGTACAGAGCCACCGCACTGGTCACTGAAAAAATGAGAAAACTGTGTAAGGATGCGACACTGCTGGAGGGCGTGGCTCTGCCAATCCAGGGATTGGCGCCGGTGACAGGGGCGACCTGTACTGACACGGGGATGACGACCAGTACATGCTGAATGGAGTAGCCGCTGAGGCATCAATCGGAAGAAGCAGAAGTGGAGAGTTGGTTGCAGGTTTGCTTATTGGCATTGTGTTGTTTACAAGCGGGGCGGGGACGGGCATCGGCATGGTCACAACCGGTGGGGCAACGTTTTGATCTGTCCCCAATAGCTCCGGCGGCGGAATGGCAAAGGCCATGTAGTCCTGCGGCCTGTAAGTCTGAGCTCCCATTGCATGAAGTTGATCCAACTGTGCCTGTGTCCCGTGAAAAAACACGCATTTATCACGCAGACAGGCACGTTTTGCGTAAAAGTGGCACACACTAAGCGGCACCTTTCTCGTTTCTCCGTTGCGAATATGAATGTAAGAGCAGCTGGACGAACGAGGACATTCGTTTTTCAAAAAATAGTCAGGACAAATAAGGCCTTTGTTCCTGTACATTTCAGCAACATGCTGCCGCCGTTGCTCGGGCGTCCACATATCGGGAAGATTTATCATGATTCAAAGTTCACTGTGGGCTATGCCTCAACGATGACAGAGGCCTATACAATTCCCCCAAATAAAAACAGCAACTAAATATAAATATAAATATATTTATTTATTTATTTTTATAAAGATAAAAAAAAAAAAAGGCCATTCAAAAATAATAATCTATAAATATATAAATGCACACTTACGTACATGCATCCGCACCAATGTACGTATATATTATATTATATGTTTAAAGCTCGCTCGTTTCTATAAACGACGAAAAGGTGGTGACTCACAAACCGCTCTGTTGGCTCTATACAAGCTTTCTTGTGTGGCGTATGCAAATTTGAGGTCATGAATAACGCCACGTCCTTCCTTTACAGTACTCCCAAAAAGGAAAAAGATAACGTCGTGGTCACCAGTGCCATTACATTTCCAGCAAAACGAAAACCGTAACCGGCGTAAAGTCGCCTTCCGTAGCTTGGCGATGGTGCAGGTCGATAAACTTCCGCCAGCAGGGAACGCCAGCAGAAAGTCTGAAGGGGGTAAAGAACCAAATCCAGAGCAGCCGTGGCAGCAAAAGAACCAGTTATTGCTTTATATCTGAAATAC